CGCCGGGCATTGCGCCGCCCCCCGCAGGTTCGAAGGTACGTGCGGCGCATGCGGCCAGTACGGCCACATGTGGCGCAATTGTGCCAAAAGTAACCGGCACCCTCACCCCAACGTCGTCACTTCTGCTGGTGCTGTCGATCCGGAGTACGCGTACGCCACGACGGATGCATCGGCCGCCCCATATCGTGATATCCCGGCGGCCGATGGGATGTACTACAGTGACGCCATGATGGCCGGTGGCGGTGGTGGCGGCGGCAGCGGCGGTGACGGCAGCGGTAGTGGGGGCGGCGTTGGCGATGGGGCGATCGTACAGCAGCAGGTTGTGACACCGGCCGAGCCCTTCTTTGAGTTTGTCGACATTTTCCACGGCGGCGGTGGCGTGGACGGTGGCGATGACGGATTGCAGCCCAACGGTGCCATGGCGACAAGTGACTCGGCGGGAGCGGTTCCTGAGGCGCTCGGCGGGGACGGCGAGGTTACTTTTGGTGGCGGTCTCTTCGCGATGCACCTTGTCTGTTCCGTCTCCTCATCCCCCCCTGCGCGTGAAATATCCAACCTTTTCCCACATCGCCCGGGTTCCACAGTCTTCCTCGGAGACTCTGGCGCCGTGGTGCACGTGGTCCCTTCCGGGGAAAAGGTGTACAACAGGCGTCCACCGCGCCCGGAGGAGCGGCTACTCATGCTTGGCGACGGCAAGCTTATCCCGGTAGAGTTCTTCGGTGATTTGGATATGATTTTCCATTGCCATGAGGATGTGCGTGTTACGCTGAAGAATGTTGGCGTGGTACCGGACTTGGCGCTAGACGTTCTGTCGCTGAACCAGATCCAGGAACGTCATGAGATCAAGCTCAACCGGCATGGGGCATCGATTTGGGGGGGGCTAGTGCAATTCACCAAATTCCCGCACGGGAGTTACATCCAGGGGACTCGCGTCGATGGCCTACCCCACCACGTCAAATCCCCCGCAATGGTCGCGGCGATGCTACGGCCTGGCCTGCAGTCTAGTATCAACTACAACGATCTTCACTGCTCCCTCGGCCATGCCAACTCCAAGACCGTGTACGAGACCGCTAAGCAGATGGGCATCAAGGTGACCGGCACTCCGGAGTACTGTGATGGATGTGCGGAGTCGAAGGCGATCCAGCGCTCGGTCCCCAAGGTCATCTCCCCTTCCCGCCGGATGACGCGGCCTCTTGAACGTGTCGCCATGGACCTAGCCGGTCCTTTCGGCTCATCCAGCGGTGGTGCCAAGCACTTGATGCAGATCTTGGACCACCACACCAACTACGGGTGGACTTTCTTCTTGCGGGAGAAAAGCGGTGCAAACGTCGTGGGCGCGTTCCGTGCGTGGTACGCCTCCATCAAGGCTCTCTTGGCTACTCACGGGGAGCTGGGCTGTGTTTTGACCGACAACGGTACCGAGTGGGTCAACGAGGAGTTTCGGGGACTGCTGGCGGAACTGAACGTTACGCGGGAGCTTACGGCGATCGACGGGCCCAAGAGCAACGATCGTGTGGAGCGGAGGATCGCGCTAGTGATGGAGGGAGGCAAGGCTGGGTTTCTGGAATACCCGAAGCTTTTCCCCGGAGTTCTGTACCCGACCAAGGCGCTGTCCTTCCGGGCCATCTGGCCCGAGGCTTTCGCGTGGATGAACGATTCTTTGAACATCGCTGCTGAGGTGAGCAAGGAAGACAAGCGGTGCCCGGAGGTTAAGCTGTACGGCAAGAGGAGGATCAGGGTGGCGCTGCCGTTCATGATGCTCGGCTTCCGCCACATGCACCGCCCGTCAAAGATGCACAGCAAGGGGGAGCGGTGCTTCTACCTGAACTCAGGCCACGATCATTCCTCGGTGACGCACAAAATTCTCACTCAGGCTGGGGTGCCCACGTACTCCGAACCCTGTACTTTTGGCTTCAGCAGCGAGGGCTTTCGGGGAGATGGACGTTCTTGGGGGTCGGTAGGGGGAACGGCCGGGGTCCCCGCGGTGGCGGCAGGAGCGGCGGCATTGGCAGCAGCTCCGGCGGCGACGGCGGCGACCTCTGGCGGCAGTGTTTTCCCTGCGGCGGCGGCGGGGGGGACGGCCGGGGTCCCCGCGGTGGCGGCAGGAGGAGCGTCGGCATCGGCAGCAGCTCCGGCGGCGACGGCGGCGACCTCTGGCGGCAGTGTTTTCCCCGCGGCGGCGGCGGGGGGAACGGCCGGGGTCCCCGCGGTGGCGGCAGGAGCGGCGGCATCGGCAGCAGCTCCGGCGGCGGCGCCTCTGGCACCAGACGGAGCGTGGACAGAGGTGGAGCATGAGGGTGGTACCGGCGTGCGTCGGCAGGGGCAGCAGGGGTTTGTAGCGACGCCCGCCGTGACGAGGTCGCGGGCGAAGCGAGATGGGCGGGTGCCGGGGATGTTCGCGCTTCTAGCCATGGAGGACGAGATCAAACGGTCCATTGCCGAGCTTCCTTCGCCGGGCGTTTCTGAGCCAGACTTGCCGACGGGGCCGGCGTACGACCAGGAGACGCCTGAGACATACGCGGCGGCGCACACGGGGCCACACCACCACGTCTGGACCCACGCCGAACACAAGGAGTATTGCGGGCTGAACGCAGTGGGCACCTTTCAGGAGGTCGGGGCGGAATAGCAACGAGGAACGAACGTCATCTCCTCCAAGTGGGTGTATTCATGGAAGGTAGACGAGTTTGGGCAGCGTGTACGTTCTAAAGCTAGGTTGGTGGCCCGTGGGTTTGCGCAGCGTGAGGGTGTTGACTTCTTTGAAACTTTCTCCCCTTGCCCTTCCATCACGAGCATTCGTCTGTTAGCCGCTATTGCCTGTGTGCTGGGTTGGGATGCGTGCCATTTCGATGCCGAGCAAGCCTTTGTCCAATCGGAACTGGATGAGGTTGTGTACATTCGTCTACCCCCTGGGTGCGGCGCCCTTTCCGGTAAGGTCGTTCGGTTGAGACGGAGTCTTTACGGTCTGAAGCAGGCGTCCCGCACATGGCATCACCACTTGATGCGTGGCATGAAGCGTCTTGGTTTCGAGTCTTGTGCTGCCGATGCGTGTGTGATGCGTCTGATCGAGAGCGGTGTAGTCACCATGGTGGTTGTGATCCACGTGGACGACATCTTTTCTATCGGACGTAAGAGCAGGTGCGACCAGTTTGGTGTAGATCTCAACCGGTATGTGCCCATCTCCAACCTTGGGGAACTGCGCTGGTATGCGGGTTGCCGGTTTTCTCGTGACACGGCGTTGGGGACGGTGACTATTTCGCAGCAGGCTGTAGCGGAGAAGATCGTCGCCAAGTTCGGTGTGACGACGAACAAAGAGACACCCATGGTCGTTGGTTTGAAGCTTGAGCAGTTTGACGCCGACGAGCCCGATGTTGACGCGCCTTTCCGGTCGCTGGTGGGACACTTGATGTGGCTGGCGAATCAGACTCGCCCGGATATTCTCAACGCGGTACGTGCCGTTGCGAGGTATTCGCACGCGCCGAAGCGATTGCACTGGCAAGCGGCTTTGCATGTCTTGATGTATGTTAGATCCAGGAGCGAGTACGGTATTACTTTTCAGAGGGGCATGGTAGGAGGAGACCACATGAAACTTTTTGTCGATGCGGACTTCGCCAGCAAGGCAACCGGTCGGCGGTCTGTTTCTGGGGCACTAGTGATGTTCGCTGGTGCGTGTGTGATGTATCTGTGTAGGACGCAGAAGAGCGTCACCCTGTCTTCGACGGAAGCGGAGTACGTGGCGATGTCTGAGGGACTGAAGGAGGCTTTTTTTCTGCGGTATCTCTGGAGTTTTATCTTTCCGGACCGTGATGTGGGGTGCACTCCGGTGTGGGAGGACAATGTAGGCGCTATTCACTTGGCAAGTAACCCGGCTACAACTCCTAACTCGAAGCACATCGACATTCACCACCATTTCATCCGTGAGCGTGTCGCGCGGGGCGAGTTCAAGGTAGTCCACGTACGTTCGGACCTTCAACACGCGGATTTCCTGACTAAACCGCTCCCCAAGGAGGTTTTTTGCGCTCATCGCGACTTTGTGATGAATATTCGTTGATTTTGTTCTTTGTGTTTTCAGCGGGGGGGCCTTTTCCTACGTGATGTGTTTTCTTTGTGAATTTATACTGGCCGTTGATTTGCTGTTGTTATGTTTCTGCTCTCTGGTACGTACGATGGATGAGGTAGTTTTGCACAAGAATCATGGGGGGGGGATATTGGTATTGTTCCATGATAATATGATACTAGTAGCAGGTGTTTTATTTGTTTTTGATTTGTTTGTTTGGTTCCTTCGTGTTTGGGATGGATGTTACAGCAGGGGGGCTGTTGGACTGGTATATTTGTCAAGGTATTGGGTATTGGAGGAAGGATTTGGCATGTTCTCGTAAGTCATGGTTGAAGCCTTTGTGCTTCCGAAGGTTATTTGAGCTGGTCAATGAGATGAAAAATGAATGCTTATCTGAGGAATTTGTTCTGAGTTAAGTCAGGACGTTGGACACGTTTGTTTTCCCAGAGTTACCCGTCCCCTTTCTGACGTGATTCTGATGTAATGTGTATCTTTGCTGGGTATTCTTCCAAGGGTGACTGTTTGTGTTTTGACTGCTTGAGAATTTGGTAAAGCATTTTTCTCAAGAGGGTGAATTGTTTATTGACAGACCTTTTAGGGGATAGTAATTTGATATCACAAGACTTTGAAAAGGCATTGTTATGTTGACAGAGTTGTTTGAAGTGGAATGGTGGATGATTTATCTGCCGTTTTACCTGGCAGTTCGTGAGGTAGGTGTCGTAGATCGTATCTCGTACAGAGCAGGGGGGCTGTTTGGGGTGCTCAGCAGGATACTGATCTACGAGGCCTCCGGGGGTTACGTGGATGATGTTTGTGTATGATCGACATGATACGTGCGGGGCCCCTCGTGCCTCCGCCGTGCATGCCACTCTCTAATCAACCAAGCTCTTGAGTCAACCTTCTTTCTCTTTCGGCCTCTGACGGGCTACCGCACCCAAACACAGCCCTACGTGAACAGCAGCACCACAGCTACGTTCACCTCCTTATCTCCACACTTGATGACTCGGGGAACGGAAATTCGCTTCGTCCGCGTTGCCAGACGGTCCACGGTCTCGTCGAACAACGCCTCGGCATCATCGTCTTCTTCGAGTTGCCTTGCTTTGTCGATGGCGGGATCGCCACCCTTATCTACTACCACCCCATCGCCGCCCCCCCCCACCCCATCGCCGGCATCTATCGACCCTTCCTCGCTTTCCGCCCTCCTTCGATTGTCTGATCGCTCGCTCTCCATTTGTAGCCCTCCGCCCCTCACCGGTCCATTGGCCGAGTCGACCTGCTCGCTTTTCTCCTCCCCCGGCTGGTTCGCCGGAACACTTTCGTCCTGCTCGACAGCCTGCTCGCTTTTCTCCTCCGCCTGGTTCGCCTCTCCGCTCTCGTCATTCTCATCCAGCGCATCTTCCTTGGACGAAACTCCCGGCATAGTGTTCCCATCCCTGAACATAACGCAAGAAGAGAAAAACAAATCGGGATACTTGTAACCATGGGCGACGATCATGACGATAGCAGTTTAAACTTGCACAATTTTCCAGGACGGTAGCACGCACGATGAAGGGACACTCAAGTACTCACAGTGGCTTGAACATCGTGATGCCGGCGTTCTGAAGATTTCGGAAGGTATCGAGGTCGACCTTGCCATTGTAGTGCGGATGGGCGAAGAGAGCACCCACCGCCTTTTCTCTTCCGTTCACCCAGCACTCTCGCAGGTCCACGCCATCCACACGGGTGTTACCCTCTGCCCCCTCCATCCATGATAACGTGTTCATGGCGTCTTCAGAACCCTCGAGCCGTTTCGATGGCCGTCGCCAACTGGGGTGCTTGTCGTAGATCTTCGCGAGTTGGTACGCGCTCGCGAATCGAAGGGCCAGCAGCAGCATGTCGCAGTTCCGGTCATGAGTGGTCGTACGAACGAACGCGAACAGCTGCTCCAACCGGTCGGTCCCAAGCTGGAAGAAGAACAGTGGATCCTCGGGGCACACGTGCTTCGCTATCGCGACCAAGAAGTAGGCGCTCCGGACTATGGTCTGCATGTCGTGGTATAACTGAGCGGGGAAGAACTTCATTCTGTTGGCGCGGTAGAGCAAGAGGGACAAGTGGGCGACACAGGCCAGTCCTGCGAGGATGGAAGCCACCCCCCTCATGTTCTCGAAGAGCATCGCAAGCAAGTGCTTGTTGATGATGACGAGGATCTGCGAAACACGGGTACGCATGAAATAGTATCGAATTAAATTGCGAACCACAACACAAGCGACTGGAACGGGTGACACTAACCGCCGTCACAAACGCTACCAAGAAGTTTATCACAGTTCGTGCTTCACATGATGGCCAAGAACGCACCTTCATGTTAGCGTGAACCCTCTTGAGGAACGGTTTCCCTGCCAACGCCTCCTCAACGCGATCATCCGGCGCCAATCCCACTTGCGCCACAGTCTTCAAAAGCCTGACGACGTTCTGACCGCAGAACAAGCACAGAAGGAAGCGAGTCACTCAACAAATAGCCCTCACATTTTTCCAACTTCATTGCGCACGGGACCGGTCTGCGGTGAATTCAATTCAAAAACTAGTTGTGGAAACACAAAAATCAGGCGGCCCCCGGCGGTTGGGTTGGAGTTGAGGGTTTGGGCAGGAAACTCAAGATGTACAACAACCCCAGTTCAGCTTGTTGTACCGAAACGTAATCTTCCGGGGACCATTTCGCCAATCTCACTACCTGTATTTTCGGCACCCTTGACTCTGGAAAAACGTGAAAAAGCGAGGCGCTCACCACGAACAATGTCCCCTCGTGCACTAACCTGTCCTCTCCCTTTCGCCGGGGTAGAAGGCGCGGAAGACTGCGATCATGGTCTTGCCATTCAGCACGAACTCGGGCCGATCTGATTCCCAAGAGTCACGCACTTCAGCCGCATCCGCTCGCGCTTGAGTACATGCTTCAGGTCCATGCAGTGAATCCGCCCCTCAACGCCAACCTTCTTCGTGTCCAGCAGGGGCATGGTAAGGAGTTCCGTGCTCCACGGCAACCTCAGGCGCGCCAACTTGAACATCGTGAAATCTTCCACCAGAAGCAACCGACGCTGGGCGTCTCCATCGGTGTCTACCGTGATCATTGGCCCGTACTCGGGCTCGGCCACCTCTGCCCAAAAGTCCAAAATCTGTACCAGTCCAAAGGATTAAACAACACCGCGAAGGCGAGACAATAAAACCAGGGGTCAGTTGCGACATACGCAACGATGGAAGCGTGCGGGTAAGAACAGTTTTGGTATGCCTTGCTCCTGGTCTTGCACTAGAGTAAACGTACAACCCGCCATGCCTACCTCAACGCTTGAGTGTTTGTAGTGCTATGCGTCAAAACGTTTGCTTCTAAACTTACCTGCTCGATGATGGCGTTCTGTTGCTCAGGGTTGGACGCCTTGCATGAGTCCAGCAAAAGCACGGGGAATGCTGCAGACCCCCCGCCACCGAATTTTCCGATCACGAACATCGATCCTTCTGTCGTGAAATGGATGGCGCCCTTGTCCAGTAGGTCCTTCAGCGTGACCAGCGAGTCCATGTCGAATAGCGTCGTGTCCACGCCCGTCGTCGTGTGCTGACCGCAGATTCCCAAAACCTGTGGTGGACAAGCCAAGCAGAACATCTGGACGACTTAAAATTTCCCATCAAGACACGCAGGATATGAAACAAATGTTCCTTGTGACGGCTTCTGTCAACTGGAATTTGGGGGCTACGATCGTGAAATACTGCTTCCGGAGTTGCATGCAAGTGTATCCACCTGGTTGTCGCCTGTGTATGTGCCGTCCTCGCGTTCCCATTGGGGCCGCGGATTGACCGCAATCTCGTCTACCATTAGAAACCACAAATGCTTGCCAGGCTTCAGCGTTGCCATGAAGGCATGGATGTTAGCCCTCACCGCTGCTTCTATGGAGGAGGAGTCACCCATAGCGCATGTGGAAAACCCCACCTGGAGGAACGGACGTGCAGGGAGAGGGTGTCGAGAGAGAGAGAGGGAGAGAGTTGGAGTGAGACCGGCATGCTATACCGTAGGCGTACACGACACATCGAAACACAGCGACGATTCCACCCCCGTACAACAAACAATGCAATGAAAAATATCCGCTACCCCAGAGTACCAAAGGAAACATGTGAGATTCACCGTCGCACCGACTTTATTGTTCAAAAGAAGCTATGTTGTCATGTCTCACATCGCTCTCCTGCAGCTTCTTCTGGACGTCAGACACGCTCGGAAGACCATCCGCTTTGCAGAGGACGTTCAGCAGAGCACTCCGCCCGAGCATCGTCGTTACGGCCGCCATATCGATGTCGGCGTCGCTGTAGCTCTGCGTGCGATAAACTCCGTTCATCGCCCGCGTCAGCTGGTCCAGGATTGCGTGTGGCGATCTGCCCTTGCGGAGGGACTCTGCAAACACTCTCTTCAAACCGGGGATGTTCTTGGATCCAAGGAGCAGGGTGATGCGCTTGTGGACGTCGAAGTTCTCCGTCAGTCTCCCTGTGTGCTTGCTGGAGTCGAACCACGGTAGACGCTGTTGCTGAGTACGATCTTTGTGGACGTTCGTCCGCTCAGCGAGGTGGTGCGCCGTCAGCTCGCAATGCTTCCTCCCACCGTCACGAACTACCACCACTTCTTCCTTCGCTCGCTCGATAACGCCTGAATCGACCAATCAAGACCACAGGGAAAGTTTGAGTGGTACTGCAACGGACGGGAAAAGGACTTGCTGGAAACACAGGAACGTAGTGCGCATCCCTCACACGTGATCATTCGCCAATATATTCTACAGCGTAGCAACTCTGATCACGTTAGCTCACCTTTCGGTTGCCTATTTTCCGAAAGCAACTGGCATGACTCGCACGGCCCACCGTACGCAGACGCCGCTCCCTCGCACGCCAAATTCCCTGTCTTTGGGTCCGCCACTGCATGCAGCGAGACGGTGCCTTCAAGGATAGTGCAGGACCACGGCCATGGCGTTTGCCCCCTGCCACGCAGGCAGAAAGGGTAGCCTGCGACGGGCAGCCGATTGGAGTCGGGTAGAATATACAAGACTCCTGGGCATGGGGGGAGTTGGCCGTCGTCTACATCGTCGACGCTGCCACCCCCGCCGTAGTTGCCTTGCTCCATCTCGTCCACCGTACCGCCTTGCTCTTCCGCACCGTCGCCTCCATTCTCTCCCGCACCGTCGCCGACATACCCTCCCGCATCTGCCGCCATCTCCCACACAGCCGCCCCCGTGCTCTCCCGCACCGTCGCCGGCGGCGGGATCACTCGCAGGTCCACTCTCATCGTCCGAGAGTACCACAGTACACGCGGGTGCCGGCCTGTTGGGCCCCGTGTCCACGTCGGGCTTCTCGGGCTTACGTGCTTGCGGACGCCCAAATAACGATGCGATGCTTGGGGTAGACGCCGCGTCCTTCCGTTCCTTCTCCCACCTCCTGTACACGCGGCGAGAGCATGTAGAGTTCAGTTAGCACTGCGGGATTCTGTCGCACTCTGTAGGATGGGTAGCAGTCTATGCGTCCTGATTGCTCCGACTGCTGGGAGCTGTCATGGGTTTAAGGAGATAACTCGATCTGTCTATTCAACATGAGGTACCCGCTATAAGGGATAACCGTATGCGACGTATGACACCACCATGATGTATACGAAGTATAAATGTATATGAGAAAAAAAAATGACACCATGTGAGCGGCTGTGTGGTACGGGTAAGGTGGTCGTTGGCACCTTTTCATTCTATCGAACTTCGAGTACTACTGCTGTTCAGGGCCTTGTTGGGGGCGCCGAACAAACAAAGGGTGTGTGGTTACTTACGTAGCTTGCACCCGATACATCACCCCCTGTTCTGAATGCTAAAGGCCGATTACTCAACAGTGACGGTGCCGATAATTGCGGCATTGGAACCGTCTCCTCGAGAGCTTTCCCAAAACGTACTGTTTGGTGTCGACATCCTCTTCGTCGTGGAGTACTCGAGCTTTGCAAATCAGTCCAGGGGGTGTGGTATCATAAGCAACCTGCTGAATGTACAACAGCAGGTAGCATATGAGTGCATCTAACCACGCTATAACATGGGCACCAGCAGACACGTTTGAGCAGGTGCATGGCTCTCTCACTCTAGTATTGCACCTGTGTTCTCTGCCAGCGACGTGGCCAGCCACGTTCTCCGGTAGCAGCCCCGCTGCTTGTTTGAAAGCTAAGTTTGTTGTCGAAGAGGGAATAAACTGACGTTTGTTGTTGTAACGTAAGAGTTGGAACGCAATCATTGTTGGAAAACCGGGGCCACATACGTGTAGAGCGCATTTGCGTGCCCCCCGAACCTTTGGACACCAATCAATGGAGAGAGCACACGTGTGCCGTAGTCGTCGATGGCTGCGCTCGTGAGCGCGAGAGAGGACCTCGGAGTACGTGAGCACGCCGAAGGATTGAGGCACTGGCCAACACAGACAGTTGGCCACAGGAAGTAGTGTATTTTCTTCGAGCTGGAGACGGGGCACCAAGCGGGGGCATACGCGTGGTGGCAACAACAACGAAAAGGCCTATTTGCCAGGTGGGTGTTGTGGCACTGAGCGCTTCGCCAACCGTTCCCTACTGCTGGTGTTGTCTTCAGATAGCTGGTAATGTCTTCAGATAGTGGTGTGTGTGGCAGCACCGAGTTGCGCCGCGGGCAGTATACGGGGGCTTGTACATTTTCGTACTTTTTCATGAAAAGTTTCATGGAAGTCCATGGACTTCCATGGACTTCCATGGACTTCCAAGACCATGGAAGTCCATGAAATGTTTCATGACATTCCGTGGCATTGCGCGAGCAGTTGCATGGATGTCCATGACATTTTTGTCATGAAACTTTACATGAAATAATTTCACTCCTTGTCATGAAACATTTCATGGAATAATTTCATGGACGTTCATGACATGTTTCATGAACGCCCATGAACGTTCATGAAAACAAATGTCATGATAGCCCATGAACGTCCATGGAATGTTTCATGGACGTCCATGGTCTTTCATGGAATATTTCATGAACATCCATGAACGTCCATGGAATGTTTCATGGACGTCCATGGTCTTTCATGAAATATTTCATGAACATCCATGAACGTCCATGGAATGTTTCATGAACGTTCATGAAATGTTTCATGAAAGCCCATGAACATCCATGAAACATTTCATGAACATCCATGAACGTTCATGAAAAATTTCATGGACGTTCATGGGCTTTCATGAAAAGTTTTATGAAAGCCCATGGACATCCATGAAATGTTTCATGAACGCCCATGGAATAATTGCTGCTTCTAGCACTGCACGAAAGGGAACACAGTCTCCCGAATCTACTCGTAGCGTTCGTCTTCTTACGTTTGACTTGACCAATAGGCTACACGGTCGACTGGCGGGCTAGCGGCTGCTCCTCGATTCTCTTGGGGGTATGCATGATAACATTGCGAAAACGACCGACCCTGTATTGTACGGCGTGTCTGCAATCTCTCTGCGATCGCCACAGCTACTCA